TACAATGCAAGGGACAAGATAATGGGAACACGCTGCACTCTCCCAATCATTTCATGTATCAGCTGTCGACTGATACATGAAATGAACACATACTACATTAGCCTCCGTTAGCTGTATACACGTCACTTTCAAAACACACTCGTAGCTGGTGGTTAACCACGGGATTAATATGATAAAAATCTAGTAAAATATTGCAATTCTCATAACATTTATATTTTGCTTTCCAGCCATAGTCTATAAACATCTCGATGTCTAGTCAAACATCAGATGAAAAACTCTCTAAATCTAAAACCTCTGAGAAAAACATCCTTGTAACACAACAGGCAACCCCTGCTTGTTGTTGTCAACAAAAGGGTCTTTTAATCAGTTTATCACAGCACAGATCAACAATTCCATCTTCCAATTACATGCCACACGTTTCTGCTCAAACCTGACTCCGGTGCTGTGAATTCCTTCACCGTGCTAGAGGCAGCTCACGATATCCCACTGCACCTCTTAAGTTTAGTCAGCTGAGAGCATTAATCACAGCATCGTCTAAATTAAATTTACCATAGAGCGTGAAGAGGCTTAATGAAAATAAAGTTGTTTATGATGTGCATGATTACAAGGGTATCTTCTCCTTACTGGAAGTACTTGAAAGGAGCAGTGGGATTTGGGGCATTTGGAGAGGGACAGCTGATCACTCAGTGGACACAAAAAGCATCCAAGCAGAATATACGGGCACAATCAATCATGACACTTACTGGGGAAGCCGAGTTGTATGAAAGTAGTTTGTATGTGTTGGCTCAATATCAAGTGATAACCAATAACAAATGGCTTTGTTATTCGTACACATTTGTTTAATCAAGCATTTGAAATTCGACGTGGTAACTCAGACATTTTGACCATTATAACCAAACTACACAGTATATTCTCTATATTAGCATCAATACTCCCAGTGCTAGTGTAAATACTGGCCAAGAACACAGCAGCAGCAAGCTTGATAATTTCTAGCATGCACAGGAATAGCAGGACAGAAAGCAGCTCCTCTGAAAACTAAAAGTCTTTGAGAGCAATTGTGTTTGCTTGCACAATGTCAATCAACTGATCCTTGCAACCAAAGCTGTTCACACAAATACACGAGGAGTGGATGATGGGAGATTACAAATTATATGCATCCATGGTCTGTTTAAACAAGTGTCAAAGATAAGGCTGATTTTCCTTCTTCGCGTCAAACAAATGACAAAGTTGCAAAGCCATTTATGCTCAGCAAAACTGAGCCTATTTAAATGACTTAAGGTAAGATTGGCTTGCTGACAAAGTCCAATGTGTGTTGACCATTCTAATGTATAAGGACAGCCCAATGTGTTTAGATATAAATAAGCAATTCATCAAAACACTGAACATAAATGCTACACAGAAACATTCTCACAAAGGCCTCACCCACAAGCTCTTTGTATACACATGCAATTCTGCATAGTGTATGCACAGAAAAAAAAAGATTGAGAAAGAGACCACACAGTGAACACTGCTTGGGGGGGAAAGCAAAACTAATCCGTGGTTATCAACACTTCTAAGCCTGCAGACTTCAGAGCCATTTGCAAACGCCCCCTCGCACCATTTCTACATCGCCTTCCCTTTACACTGGCACACGAAGATGCTTCTGTTTCCACCTGAATCTGTGACAGACCAAATGCAAATAGGAGCACAGTAATGGTTTCCAGGGAGACAGCAGAAGCAATGCTTCCAGATGTACAGGGATACAAAGCATTACACCCCATTTCTGCTCCCAGCCAGAAGACACCGAGTTCTAAAAGCAGCAAGCTTCTACTTGAAGCCTTTTACCACATCATCTTTGACAATAAGGACTGAGGATGCTGTTGGCCAACAGCGAAAAACGTAATTACTTAAAACCTTAACATTACAAATGGAAAAGATTACCGTAAAGGTGTTCTAGCTATACTTAACCCTGCTGCAATCCGGTAATAACGCCACTTTAAAATATACTTTGAAAATAGAATGTCAAAAGAAGCATGGTTTTTAATTAAGAGCTGAATACATCAAAACCTTGTATGTTTTTCTATTCAGTCAATGTCCTTCAAAAGGGAAGTTAAGGCCCACACTAACCTCAAGCCTCAAACTGTTGTCACCAGATATGTGGCAGGCAGCCTAATAAAGTCAATTATCCTTAGTCTTACTTATTTTCATACATGTATGAGGTTAAGTCACTTATAAAGCATTTATTATTCCAACCTAGATTTTAAAAGGACTTCATTTTATCACATAGCAATAATGTGTCTTTAAAAGAAAAAGGAATACAAAGTAGAAACAAGGTTAATATACATCTGTGGCTGATAGCAAAGAGGTTGTTGCAGTAGATTTTATTAATAGGTTCCCCATTAGCTGATGTCATTGCATCAGCTACTCTTCCTGGGCTCCTACAGCAAACAATGCTTTCACTTCACTTAACACTGAGCTCATAACACATTTATAGGAACCTTAATGAGCCAATCCAACAAAAAGTGAAAGCAGTGAAGGAGCCACGTTATCAGAGTAACCAACAAGTCAAATTCACTCTCCTTCAACAACAGAGCATCCTAAACACACACACACACACACGAAGCCTGTTGTTTCAAAGTCATGACATCTGACGTCATTTTGAATGAATATTTACAATTTAATATGAACTTATGGGGCTTAGTGATCAAAGCCAAAAAGGATGCAAATAGTTTTCCAAATGAGTTTTCAATAAAGATCTGCCTGGGTCAAAACCACAATCAGTGAGGCACCTGAGAAAAACAGGTAGATTATGGAAGGCACAAAAACTGCAATTAAAAACCCTCAAAGTGACAGAGATAAGATTAGCAGCAAGCTCTTAGTAATGAGAAACATTTCTAGTCATAAATCTTATAATAGCTCTCGGCATTTTATAGAGTCTAAGCTTCCTTCTTGCATGATATTGATTTACTGCAGGTGAGGAAAGCCAATAGCAGTTTGTTGCAGGTGTAAAGAAACAAGCAGCATGCCTGGGAAAGGCAACGACAACAGACAGCAGTGTCATGACAGCTTGGCTAGACTTCTACAGAGAAATATCAGTAAATACAACAAGTGAATTATAAAAAAGCAGCATAAGAAAGAAAAAAAGCTGGAAAGGCACAGAAGAAGGGAGCCATACAACAAAAAAAGTTCATATGGTTCTGCAAAGCATCTTGTGCCAAGGCCTCAACAAAGTCACACCACATCAATACAACTTTTATAAAGCCTTTCAATGAGACAGACTGGCATTGTGTGACCATTCTCAACATGTCTTGCTGTTGTGAAACACTACTGCCAGAAAACCAAAAACAAAAAATGTGCTGTGATATCTGCTCTTTATTTTCCCCAAAGACGGGTCTTCCCTCGCATGTGCAACTGCTTCTCTGCACTATGTACTCATAGTGATTTAGCTTCATGCAGGCAAGTGGAAATGGTGGAAACTGACAAGTGGGCTTTGAACAACAGCCTCAGGCTGGAGTGCAACAAAAACAGTACACTAATGCCCCCTAGTGATGAACTGTGATAATGCCACAGGAGAGATGCCAGATGTTTATCCTCAGAATCCTGCATGAAAACCTTTTGACATCGCAGCTGCATTTGTAAACATACACAGCTTTAAATTCGCCAAGGCATTGGGCGAGACCCTAGAACCAAGAGATCTCAAGAATAAAAACAGCCTTTAGTAATGTAGCAGTAACAAAACCAACTTTGCTAAAGAGATGGTGGGCAAGGCAGCGACATGCACAGCCTGCAGCTTCTTCTCTGTCCTCTAATATGTCACACTCTCAAGATGGAAAATTAGGCTATCCCCAGGACCGACTACACCCTACTGCTAGACTTCTTCAGACTGCTCATCTTTAGGATTGCACCGACCTCAGACGCCTATTTTTTAAAATCTTCCAAAGAAGATTTCACACTTTCTTCTACCCATAATCCTGTTCCTACTGCTTGTCAGGATGACAACAGTAACAGCAGCCAGTGGGCTGTGTGTGTTAATGTACTCCCATGTGCACAACTGGGCACCAGGGGGTCTGTTACAGAAGAAATACGGACAGCAAAGAAAATCTTAAAAAATGAAAACTGAAGGAAAATGTGTGGAAAGGAACAGAACGAATTGGAAAGGAACTGAATTACATCAAACATGAACAGTTTGAAAAGATAAGTTTATCATAATATTGTACATAGAGTCTGAAAAGTAAATATAACAAACTAAAATGGTTAATATATAAAAAAAAGTCTCAACTTTGTCAGTCCTCCTTAAATGAATTACAATGACAATCTTTCCTTCATCACAGGAAGCTGAAAAGCTTCACATTACACAGGAGAACTATTCCATTACATTAAAACCAGGTCATCATAACTCCTTCCTAAACTTTTTAAGACTTTCAGTGTCTAGTTTTACTCAAGCAGCAACCTGTATCACCGAGGTCCAGCTCAAGTGTATACAAATATAAATCTTCTGATGGCAACATTTGCTTCCTGCAATAAAACTACAGCCATGTCCTGATTAAAGAAACATTTTAAAAGCAAGCATTTCCACAAACAAGTCAACAGAATATAACATTAACTACAAAACCAATCTCAAAATCGAGCATTCACAGCAATTAAACTTTAAGCTTGTCCAAGCTCACACAAAGGCTTATACATGAGGAGGTCAGGGTTTCCAGTCAGTTTACATACAGTATATCCTGGGTTAACCCCTGAATGGCAACTTTTACTTGTTTTTGCCACTCACGACAACACAATGGTGTATGAAATGTTTCCTTGCTAGAGCAGGCATTTGGTTAAGTCTCATGACCAATAATTTGAATTTAATTCAGTCTTTATTATTGTCTGCTACTTAAGGTAAATGAAACTGTTTGCTAGTTCTTACAGACTGGTGTTGTACATTGTGCTTACCAATACTGAATTCTTTGTCTCTAAAACAGACAAATAAAATATAAGATACAAATAAAACCAGAAAATAAGGGTAACCTTTGACTCACCACGTTTGTCTTCTTTTTCGTTGGTAAACATTTGTTAAACAGTATTTCCGGCGCCAACCACTGGAGAAACTAACTATTTATCACGTACAACGAAACTATGTTTGGAGCCTAGGGCCCATCACGGGCGACGGGGGGAGTTCAGTGTCTTGCCCAAGTGCACTTTCACACGTGGACGGTAGGCACCGGGATTCGAACCTCCAAATTTCCGGTTGATGCTCGACCCACCGCGCCACTGTCACCTCCGCTGAATTTTTCTTTGCAGAGCAGGTTGGTTTGTTGCTGTTGTTGTCGTTAGTTGTTTTGAGAGTTAGTAGTGTTGTAGCATATTGTGTATTTAGTTGCTCTCTGAACAGCGTTTTAGTCACCAGGTGTTTGCAATCAACGCTGGTGCGTTCAAGGACCCCTCGTTAAGTCCCTCCTCCCAGAATACTCCATTTCTTAAACACTCAGACAATCAAAATGGCAACAATATAATGTCTTGGTGACTATGATGGAAATGTATTAGTAGCTTAGAGAGCAATATTTATGCTGCAATGAGGGCAGTTTGTTGTTCATAAAGTTTATCTCATGCAGGTTGAAAATATAAATCCACCACAAAACAGGTGTCTCTCAGCCACACCTGAAGCTAATTAACGTCTAATGTAAGGTTTGTCTAATGTAACAAAAAAACAAACCTGCCCCAATTAGCTTATTAAACTCACCTCAACACATATAAAATCCAAAATAATAAGCCACAAGTTGTTTATTATCTGAACAGTTTTCAAAACACTGTTGTGAGTTTACTGCTGACACCTGTGGCCAAAAGCTGTACTGCACAAACAATGACGCAGCTAAGGCAAGACTGAGCTTCCAGTCATCAGGGCTACTAGAAATACATCTCTCTGCTTTTAGCATCAACAAGCTGTATGAATGACACTTTATTATAGACTCAAGGTCCAAGTTCAAAAACTAAAAAAACAAAACAAAACAATAAAAACAGTTCAGAAGGATGTATGTACTGTAACACTTAAATTTTCTGTATTGTCTGCAAATAATTTTATTACAGGAAATGGTGTAGTGGTGAAGTGGACACTAATAGGTACTGTAACCTGATTTGCCATGTTTACACAAAATACCCCATGTGTGACAGCTTAATTTAACTGCCTCACATTTGTATAGTTGTATACAGCTTGTCTGCCCCTTAACAATACCATGTCATTGGCTGGTTTATGTGGGCTCAACTCGATGTAAGTTTTTTTCTTTTCTGCAGTCATCATGTAAAGGTTCAAAAATGTCCACAGCCAAAGCACAAAACAGTATTATTATTATTTCTGTAATTTGAATATGACATTTTGGAAATACTGCATTTAAACTAAATGCACTTACAAGAATACATTGGAAGAAGTTTTTTTTTCTTTTACTATACAAGAAAATCAGCTGTGTATGTTTATGTTGAAACCAATTTATGCTGGTTTAAAGAAGGAATAGAACAAACCCCCTGAAAAGAAAATGAGTTAGCTAAGAGGGAGTATGGGAAGATGAGATGAGCATACAAAGGCCCCCACCCCCCACCTGGGTCTCTCTGATTACATCACCATCATGTTGACACCTGCATACAGATCCAGAGTGAGAGCCATCAGACCAACACAAAAGGAGGTACACGTGTGGCCGGAGGGGGCTTCCTCTCCACTCACAACAATCACATAGAGGAATACACTGAGGCCGTCACAGCATACATCACAAAATGCATTGATGATGTCACCTACAGCACAAATATCACTGTTCGTGCCAACCAGAAGCCATGGATGACAGGTGAGGTTCACAGACTCCAGAGGGCTCAGGATGCAACCTTTAGGGCCGGCGACACCGCAGGCCTAGCAACAGCAAGAGCCAACCTATCCCGTGGAATCAAGGAGGCAAAACGTCAATACAACAAGGAAATATCTGGACACTTCAGCAACACTAGAGATGCACAGAGTCTCTGGTGGGGCACCCAAACCGTCACAGGCTATAAACTCCCACCTTGGAGCTGTGATAGTGACATCTCTCTACTGAACAGCCTCAATGACTTTTTTGGCCACTTTGAAACACAGAACACACCGGCACAGAAGACCACCCCTCCCCCAGGTGAACAGGCTGTGTGTCTGTCTGCAGCCAGCGTGAAGAAGATCCTCTCCAAGATCAACCCACGCAAGGCAGCTGGACCAGATAACATACCTGGTCATGTTTTAAAGGACTGTGCCGAGGAGCTCAAGGATGTCCTCACGGACATCTTTAACATGTCTCTGAGCCACACGGTGTTCCTACCTGTTTCAAGGCCGCCACAATAATTCTAATTCCAAAGAAGCCCCACCCAACCAGTTACAATGACTATCGGCCTGTAGCACTGACTTCAATTATTGTGAAGTGCTTCGAGCGGCTGGCCATGCAGAACATCAAGTCCATCCTTCCTCCCTCTCATGACCCATTTCAGTTTGCATACAGGTCAAACAGGTCCACAGAGGATGCCATTACTGCTGTTCTCCATCCGGCCCTCACCCACCTAGATTCAAAAAACTCTTACGTGCGAATGCTGCTCCTAGACTTCAGTTCAGCATTCAACACAATCATTCCCCAGCAGCTTACACAAAAACCTGGGACTCAAAACTTCTCTGCAACTGGGTGCTGACGCCTCCCACCCCGCACACTCCACTTCAGACTCCTGCCTTCAGGGAGAAGGTATCTGAGTCTTCAGGCCCACTCCACCAGACTTACAAACAGCTTCATCCACCAGGCTGTGAGGATGCTGAACGCTGTCCATTACCCCTGCCCCTGGACTGTGACCCACCACAGAACATAGACTACCGCTGCTGTTTTGCACAAACCCAGTACATTCCCCCTTCTTGTTATATTACATGTAAATCACATGCTGTCAGTTTTTACCATCATATTTGCACTACTGTCCATGTGCATCTCAATCTCACAACCATCTGACAATCTTCTTATTTGCACTACTGTCACTGACTGTGCACGGTTTGAATAATAGCCTATTAGGTTATACTGTTTAGTTTAATCCTGATCACTTTGATTTAGTTTTCTTATTCTTTCTATTCTATTTTTACTCTACTTTTATTCTATTGTAGTTTCCTAAATGGTATGGCATTCAATACTAGGTGAGAGAGAAACGGTATTTTGATTTTCTGTATGTCCTGCACATAACAGTGAATTGACAATAAAAATCTTTGATCTTGATCTTGAGATGTGTGGAAACAGTGTGTGTGTGTGTGTGTGTAAAGGGATACCAAATGAGAAAACAGAAGTCTGACTGACAGCAGAGCACTGAGCTCAGCTGATGGCCCTTAATGAAGTACGGCAGCTGCAGAGGAGGATCCCACACTGACAGGCCAAGTCCCGCTCTGATGGATGGTGGAGAACACACACACACACACACACACCTATGCACACACCAGAAGATGGCTAAGATTTAAGCATACCCAAACAGTGATCGACATGCCGCTCAATGAGGTGCAGGGTACTGAATGGCAGAACATCGTCAGCGTTCTCTGAATACATTGCATGGTGTGTGTGTGTGTGTGTGTGTGTGTGTGTTTTCCCTTTTCGTCCTCCAGTGAACATCGGAAGAATTCTGTTCTGGTCCATGATTGGCATTTAATAAATCTGTGTCCCTTCTTAATTGTATTTGTGAGTTGCCTTCCCTCAGGATGCAACAAATAGCTTGTGTGATGCAGATGAATGAAAGCGGAAATCCATTCTTTACCCATCTCTCAGTCAGTTATACAGTTGCTATTTTTTTACAAGCAAAATAAATAAAGTCAGTTATTTCATCCCATTTTCACATCTTGTACTCTTAAGTTCTTTTTGGATATTTACAGTGTTGTTAATGAATCAGCAAAATCACTTTCACTGTGATGAAGATGTAGAAAATGAAAATGTCCCCCAGATTTCAGTTCCATGAGAACACCAGGAGTACCTTTGTGTACTAAAATTTGACAATGAATGCCAACCTGGATCCAAAATGATGCATTACATCAGCGAATGTAGAGAAAGTTGCAGTAAGGTCTTAATGATGAAATGAAGTTATAGTGCACAGAAGTGTAGATCAAGTGACACCATTTATTTTGTTTGCAAAGTCCTTTACTTTCCTCTTGAGGACAAAGAAGTATGTTCATTGTTTTCTTCATCAAATTAGAGGTAACACTTTACACCAGAGCTTCATGTCCATCATTTTGGAACACCTACATAGAGTAGCACAAGGTACCTGAGATTAAAATGACCAGTTTACTGTATCTGTCAGCCATGCAATCTGCTGTGCAGGCACTCTCTGGAAGTGATTCATTCATTTTCTACCGCTTGTCCCTGAACGGGGTCACGGGGGGGGGGCCGGAGCCAATCCCAGCCAGCCATCGGGCGAAGGCGGGGTACGCCCTGGACAGTTCGCCAATCCATCGCAGGGCTAACACATAGACGAACAACCAGACACACGCACATGCACTCCTATGGGCAATTTAGAGACACCAATCAACCTAAGCTGCATGTCTTTGGACTGTGGGAGGAAGCCGGAGTACCCGGAGAGAACCCACGCAAGCACGGGGAGAACATGCAAACTCCACACAGAAAGGTCCTGGGCGGGGCCCGAACCCGGAACCTTCGTGCTGTGAGGCAACGGCGCTAACCACTGTGCCACCGTGCCGCCCTGGAAGTGATTCATAAAGGTGTCCATATGGTCCAGCCATATAATAACCTCCCATTATGACCAGATATTTATGTTAGCTCAGCATTATTTGCCAATGAGTGTAATGAAGTATGCTGAATCTACTGTGATAAACCATTCAAAGCTCAGATGGGTATGTCAGTAACATGAAAAAAGGTTTATTTGGATTTGGCCAGATCAAAAATGTAAATATATTCCAGCACTGATCCAATGTCAAAAAATAGTTTTTTCCCCCCCTCTGGCCATAGCGACATTATTATTTCATCAGAATAGAGCTTTTATTTTTGAATGTTTAATCAGGTACTGTCCACCAGATTTTCCCATCTGGTAGTTTTCATATGTATAACAAGTCGTTGTAATTTACGTAAAACCTAATAAGAAAAAGTGTAACACGCATACTTAAGGGAATAAATTCAAACTAGACAAATACATCTCCTGAAGAAAATGTGTGTGGATGCTGATTGCTGAAGAATTGCCCTGGAAATGCTGAAATAGCTGAAGGCTGTGATACAATGCTGAATAATTATGGAAGATGAAATGAAAACAGAAGTTGGGAATTTAACTTCATTATCTGAAGGTGAGAGCTTGAGAGCATTCCTAAAACAGTGGAAGGCTTAATCCCAGAGTGAGAGGTAGAAATTAAATGGTGCAATGTTCTAAAAGAATAATTTTTACTGACATCTGGCAGATATATTTTAAAGGCCTGTGTGTGTGTGTGTGTGTGTGTCACTGTGCTACAGTACCTCTGTATTACTTCAACTGTGTATGTCTGGGTGTTTGTTATTTTGTGTGCTTACTCAGCATCCACACAAATAAAATCCATCCATCCATTGTCCTCTGCTTCTCCGGGACCGGGTTGCGGGGGCAGCAGTCTAAGCAAAGACTTCCCTCTCTCCAGACACTTCCTCCAGCTCCTCCGGGGGAATGCAGAGGCGTTCCCAGGACAGCCGAGAGACCTAGTCACTCCATGTCTAGTGAAATTCCCTGACCTTACCAAAAGACAGTACTTGGTATCTTAACTGTGCATTATAGATACAAAACAGCAGGTGGCAGCACACCACCATATTTCTCCTTATTTTTGCATAAACTCATCTGCTTTTATGTTATGTACCATGTTTCCCTTTATTAAATACTAATCATCCATACTCACACACACGGTTAAATAAAATTGTTTAATAGTTGTTTAACAAAAATAAAATTTACAAAAAACTCTTTCAATCCAAAGATTTGTACAAATCATGGCTCCAATTTCACCTTGTCTTGACATAAAAAAATACAAAAAGGCACTGTGCATTAGCATCTGCTGCATATAGAAAATGTTTTAAACTAAAAAAAAGTCCACTATTCATATTTACAAAGTTATTATCAAGCTGATGCTTTCATATGCTGACAGGCCCGTGTCCTACCAGTTCACACTTGCTGCTAATAATAGCCAACTTAAGAGATGAGACAGAAAACGATGGATTATACCTGTAAGGAGTGTGAAAAAATAAATAGTCAAAGTGCAAAGATGTACAACACAGTAAAAATGCTTCAATAATGGGATGTGTGCATTTTAGGACATGGGGATGTGCCTCATGCCACATACATTCCTTTGCCTACTTGCTTACCTTACCCATTGCTTTATTGCCACTGGACACACACAGTGGTGGTCAGTGGTAGTTATGCATTGACTCTCACTTTTTAACAGTTTTACAGAGAGAGAGAGACAGAAGAAAAACTGTTGCTGGTTATTAGCCAAGGTCATAAAATGCCGTGTACAAACAGGAACACCTGTGTGGGTGTCCTTGAGCTTCATATTCAAACGATCCTTATGATGTTTTTAGTCTTCAGTATGTAGAAAGACTTTACAAAAGAAGCATGTTTGGTGTATTCCTGGAACCCATCTTGAGTTCTTTGAAAGAAAATAGACTAGGGCAGACACCTCATAACACTAAAATGGGAGCAGTTAAACTAAAACAGAAGTGCTCCATAGAGTGAAAGAAAGTCAAAATGCAGGAACTAATTACTTATTCATGTAAAATAAATGTTTTCATCTATTTTGTGGCAAAGTAACTGTTTCTGACACATTCTTTATAAACCTAAACATTTTCTAATGACCTCCGAAAGCCCAAACCTGACCAACAGCAAAATGTTTTTTCTGTACCTTTCTGGTGCTATTTACTGTGCAAATTCATTATTCATTCAAAGATTTTAGTGGTACATACTATGAAAGACACCTTTCATTCTTTTTACAGTTCTTTTTACAATCTCCTTGGCATCCACATGTCCAGTGTTTCTGTTATGACAGGTTTATGAGTGAATTCGTATCCCAGTTGGAAAGACTCCAACTGTGTAGCAGTTACAGTGCCTAACAATTCCTTCTGGCATCCAGTCACTAGATCATTTAAGGTCTATTGTTTCTTCTGATAAAATCACAGGAAACCATGCTCATCGAGAGTTTTTGGAGTAACTGGATTCCACTTAGCGGTTGTCTTGGTAGTAGAGTAGCCTGCAAAACAAAAGCCAAACACTGAATCAGTGCAAACACTCACAGAGGGCATACACAGATATTATGTATAGTATTAAAACTAGTATACTGTAGTGTTGGATACCTGACTCTATTCGACTTTTGGGTAGCTGTGGTGGCTGAACATCTGGCAAATGGCATCCCCTCCCTTCAACATCACTCTCACCTGACGACGTATGGTCCTCTGCTTTCAAGGCAGGCTTCTTATAGTATTTGGCCCGATAAGTGTCTGTCATACAGTTGTCCACATAAAAGTAAGTGGTGGGAAGAGCCACTTCTGGCAGAAAAGGGGAGCCTGTACCAGCATCATGCGAGGGCTTTGGACTGGGTAACCTCTCGTCACTCTCACTGGCCGACAGATCGCTCCTGTCTTGGTCAGATGACCCCGACTTGGAGCTGGCATCAGATGAAAGCCTGTGCTCTGCAGGTGTATCAATCCACCGACGGAAGGAGGTGTGCGAGAAAGGCGATAAGCCATTTTTGGGTTCATTGCGGGGCCTCGACCGTGCTGGTACCTCCGGCGGTTGGATGTCGGCGCCAGATGGGTCAGTATAACTGCTGCCAAAAGTCTTAGGGGGTAAAGGCGGGGGAGAGTCCTGTGAAAAAGAGTCTATACGGGCAACAGTGTCTGTCTCCTGTTGTTCAGAGAAGGATCCAGCAAGGTCATCAAAGCTGTTCCACTCAGAACTGCTGGTCGTTGCCAAGTAAGAAGGCCCATAGCCTACAGGGCTACCATCCACATTGTCGGCTTGTTCGCTGTCCAGACCACTGTTCTTCTCCAAGATCCTGGGAGTGTATCGGACAGCTCTTCTTCTGTGGCAGTGCAAAAACACAAACATCAGTATTCGAATTGTACTAAGCCAATTGAGAATTTTAATTAACAGTTTTAAACTGTTTTACCTTTGTATGATCTGACCAGAGACGTCTACAGCATCTTGTAGATCTGGAGATTTTCTTCCTTGTTCATCTAGACAAAGAACAGCTCATGAGTATCTTCTATCACCTGACACTAATTTGTAAACTCACAGCAATCACTACCAGATGGTCAAAAATTAGAGTAACATCTGTCACGGGGTTCTATTTGGAAATGGCTACAACATTTCCAGCTAAGACTGGCTATTTAACAGAGGTTATGATAAGGCTGGGAGAGAGGAAGTATCAAAGCAGCTAGTCTGGCAGATCACCCTCAGGCCCCCAGTGTACCACTCTGAGTTGGCCAAAGAATGTGGCCCCTTCAAAGGCAATTTGGTTTCATATGCAGGCTCTCTTAGCTTTGAGCTAAGTAATAATGAAACAATAAGTACCCTGAATGAACTCCAGCTGATTTAGAAGTTTGAACATGCACCAACTAATGAAAAGAGAAGTAATCAAACTTATTAAGATCACTCATGTCATGAAATGATGTCAAGTGAATTATGCTGCAAAATATGGGGATAACTGTTGATTTCAAACACCTTGTAAAACAGGTCTCTGGGTGGGGACCTGTGTGGCTCTTAGCCAAGTTAGCAGGGTGGCTGTGATTTACAAGGCCTGAGACAGACAACAGCTGACTACCAGGACAAGGAAGACAGCGAGTGGCTGAGGACCATCTGTGATGTGTCAGCATACCCTCTTTTTCCCCTGAGCTCTCTCAAAGCATTAGTGGCTAAATCCTTTGTGCTGGCATGCAGCTACGCCAGGGTCAGACTCCAGATGCCCTCCACAACACTATTGCATTTTTAAGCTACTAAGTCCATGTGGCAATTCACAATTTGATGCTGCTGATCTGCAGCATTGGCAAGCAAATGCAACAATATTATTGTACAAAACAAAAAGAGATGCTGTTTACAGTGCCTACCCCCCCATGGTCGTGAGCACTGTTGCCCTGAGAAAGCTTGAAGGAGAAAGCAGCTGGATATCAAAAGGCCAAGAGTGCAACTTGTGAAATCTGCAGCTGATTTATTAAGATACCAGTTGTGTGCTACATATATTCAGCTTTTAAACACTGATACCCTCCTGATGTAAATCACTCTCAGACCTGCCTCTGATCCTATTCCAGCAAAAAGGATTACTGTGAGAAAGTTCAAGAGACACCGGTTTGTGTGCTGCTGTTATCAACTAAAAAGTTATTCAGGGTATTTAAAAGAGGGAAACAAAAGTGACTTGACATCATTGCAATCATTCCAACACTACCAACCACGAAAGCAAACCCTAATTAGGTTTATTTCTGACAGCCCTTTGAAGGTATGTGCAGTTCTAAGGCTGTCGAGATGAGATTTGTAGTTGCCTGTGCTCTGATGTGTGGGGTACTTAATATTCTTCATCAATCAAACATTCCAACATCAGTCAAACTTGCATGAATATCTATGGTTCAACAGTTCATCTGAACCTAAACTACTCAATGTGGGGAGGAACAGCTGTTGTCTGTGTGTGTGTGAGATATAGCACAGACATAAGAACATTAAGCCTCAATATAAATGTGCACTCATCCCATGGAATTAACACTTTCATCATCATATCAGTCACTGGCTTGTTCAAATCTAATTTATATAGCACTTTAAAAACTTGATGACCAAAGTAAAGAAACACAGCCAACAAAAGAAATCAGGGTTAGGTTATTAAAACTCCACTATGATTCAAATGCCAGAGAAAATAAATAAGTCTTGAGCAATGATTTAAAATCTTCCAGATCCATGACAGATTTCATATTAACAGGCAACCTGTTTGAAGACCTAAGAGATCTAACTGGCTTGTGCCACTGCAGGAATTCACCAAGGTGTAAAGGGGTCAGTGCCTTAAAGGTACAGTAGGTACCTGAAGGTAGCAGTAGCATGAATGATGCCATAAGTGGCATCAATGGATGGACCAAGCTGAGTAGCACACTAACGTATGAACACACATCCACTGTAGAAGACGCATCCAAAACAAACACAATGGATAATAAATCCATTTAACTGGATAAAGTTCACCACGAGTCCTTTATGGGTTTTTTTTGACACTGAGTAGCCACTAATTCAGACAGGGAGAAGCAAATGGTTAGAACACCATCTTAGCACAAGATTTATCTTACACCAATAACAATTTGGGGATTTATTCATACACAAGAGCAAAGTTAAGTAGACAGCTCTTTTGTTTATGTAATCATAACTTTGTGGATTATATGGACTGTGGAGGCAGAGCGGTAAAAGCTTTTCAAGTGTGTTATTAGACTCCTAATGAGGTCTGCAGGAGCCCATCAGGGTAAACTGAGAAAAAGGTGTGATTTACTGTTTAC